GTCCAAGCCAGGGCCGTCCGCAATCAGCGCGCCCGCCCCTGCGCCGCCCTGCTCCGCCGTCCCGCACACGCGCGAGGGCATTTCCGGGTTGTACTGCGGCGGCACGCCGCACTGCCCGAGCCACTGCGCGTTCCACCGCAGGTCGCTCGCGTCGCGGCTGAAGCGACAGGCGCTGCCGCCCTCTGGCAGCACCAGGGTGGACCAGCGTACCCAGCGCATGCCCGGGCCGCAGCGCACGCCGCGGAACACCGCGGACGCCGTCGCCACGCCGCCGCACTTCACGGGCTCCTGCAGCGTCGCCGCCCACTCGGCGGTGCCCTCCGCGGGCAGGCACGCCTGCTGCCTCGCCGGCGCCGGCGCCGGCGCGTCGCCGCCGCGCTTGGCGCCCGAAGGAACAGCACACAGCTGCGTGGGCAGCTGCGGGGCCACCTGCGGCGCCGCACCGCAGCCGCCGAAGTTCTCGGTGTTATACGCGTCGAAGTCGCGCCGCGACCTGTACCGCACGCAGCCGGGCACGAGGGTGCTGTTCGCCGCGTGGTAGGCGTACATGCCCAGCCACCGGGTGCCCGTCATGTAGGCGTTACAGCGCTCCCCAAACCAGGCGACCTTGGTGAGGCCCTCCTGCCAGCAGCCCGGCCAGTCCAGGCCGACGGGCGTGGCGACGGTGCCGGCCAGGTAGGAGGGGGCGACGCACTCGATGGACGAGGCTGCGTGCATTGGGAGGGGGGGCGTTTTGCGGATAGGTACACATAACAGTATTTGGGGCTGAGTGTGCTGTGCAGGCAATGATACATAGTACGCTGCAAATTGGCTCTTGCAGGGCCCAACACCAGCCACCGCAGCTGCATGCACACGCGTGTCCCCGGCTCAGGCCTTCACGGCCCCAGAGCTGTTGGACTCGTAGCAATACGGTGCGGGCCGCACGGGTGGAGGGCCCGCTCACCCGCGACGGGCATCTCTGCGGCGATGCTGATGACCCTGTCCTGCGCCACCGCCCTCACACCCGGTGCTGCACTCATCGCCCGGATCAGCCCGCGGCCCTCCAGCTGCGGCGACACCACGAGCACCGCAGCATGGGGCGGGCGGCGCCGCCGGCCGCCGCCCGGGGTGCGGGGGTCGATCCTGGCTGCGGCGCCGCCGGAGCCTGGGCCCGCGGCGGCGCCGTCGACGGAGGCGGACTGCACCGTCATCGCCGCCAGATCAGCTTCGGGTTTCCCGAGGATGTGCTCGACCTGGAAGGTCGACAGATCTGCTTCACCCGCCGCGTCCTGGGAGCCGGCGAGAGCCCTGCCCTTTGCATGCTTGGCCTTGCGAGCCGCCTTGCGGGCGGCCGCGTCGGCCAGGGAGCGAACGCGCTTGTGTATGCTGCGCAGCATGGTTGCGCGGCCGGCGTTTGTTGGTAACAGACATTACCATATTCTTGAAAATTGAATCCATTGCTCTCAGGCATACACTTGCTCGAGCTCGCATGGGTTGTAGGTAGGCAGACGAGCTGTCAGAGGTTGGGGTTCGAGCGTGTCAGGATCGCCCCTCACCCAGCAATGGCTTCATCAGCGGTGGTGTTGTGGTCAAAGGACACGATGAAGCGGCCAGGGATCGGCTCGCCCGCCTTGGCGGCGCCTGCGATTGGAGGTGTGTGGCGGGACCAGAGGCCGGAACCCAAACGCTCTTGGCTGTTTCGTTCAAGGCTGCACTTGGTTCCCTGGTGCCAAAGCCTCAGGCGGCTTGTAGATTTGGTGTTGAGCCCCCAGATGGTGTGCACACGCGGGTGGGTGCACAAGCGCGGACTGCACCGCACGGTGGGGTATTGGTATCTTACCTTGCATCAGGGAGCCTGTCTGTGCCTCCTGGAAGGGCGCCGGCAGCGCAGAACCTGGAGCGCCGCCCATCAGCTCGCTGTCCGTCACAGCATCGGCGCCTGTGCCTGCACTGCCCGCTGGCGCCGCCGAGCCGCCCTGCTGCTGCTGGAAAAGCCCCGCTGTCGGCGGCGGCGGTGCGAGCTCGTACGCGCCAGCCACGTTGCGAGCTGCGCTTGTCGAGCTGCCGCAGCATAACAATACAACTAAAAATCCTACGCACACCACTGCCCGTGCGGGTAGGCCGGCTCCGCGAACCCCCATTCTGCCGGGCATGCGGAGCGGGTCGACGCCTCCGGAAACCCCCCAAAGGCAATCTCAATGAGTCGTATGGACATGAAAAAGACTGCAACCCCCGCTAAATATAGTGAATTGGCGCGGAGTCCTTCTCTCAGCGCGAAGGGGACTCTTGGGCATCATCCGAGCTCGTGGCCAGCCTCCTGGCGGCAACAAGCGGACAGGCACACCTGCTGCGAGGCCCAGAACTCCGATTCACTCGGATTGGAGTTGCTCTATCCACGTTTGTGATGGCGCGTCACACGTTGGCCATGCGCGCTGACATCCCAAAGCAGGGCCATGCTGCAAGGTCTGTTCACAGATCTTGCTTGTAGCCCAAGGAATCTGGACCAGGCTACCTGGAATCCCCAGCGCGCGAGCTGCTGGGGATATCTTGCTTCACCTCCGAGCCAATGGCCGCCTGGTCGCTGATTCATGCCAAGTACTGGTCCGGTGATGGCGATACATAGGAACATGGAATTCTGGGCTCACTGCATTTGTATCCCCTCCAAGCATGCAGGCGATGGCGAGTACCGTGAATAAGTCATTTACGGGGCGGCCCGTAGAGGGCTGGCCGTCAACAGTGATACCACATGCCGAAATTGTGGCAAGCAGGGAAAAGCACAAAGCGTGTGGGGCATCCCTGCTCATAGCCGGATCCACCAGAAACAGGCTCTTGTGCAAATGATCAAGGCACTACTCCAAGGTGGCGCGCTTTCTACAGTGGCTGGCACACCCTGGTAGCCAGCGAGGTGGTCACATTACAAAGGTGGTGCTGGGCAACACATGCACAAAACCCCAGCGCGTAGTTGTTTGTGAGCGTCACTTGGTATGCATGCATGCAACAGGCCCCAAGGCCTGGTAGCGTATGGTGACACAGTACAACAGTCGCTCGCATAGACAGGCGCAGCACGAGCAGCATCGTCGTCGTCGTCGTCAGTGAGTTCAGTGTGTGGCCCCAGCTGCAAGATACCATTGAGCGTTATCCAAATCTGCGACATTAACGTCAATTCAGCTTAATCTGGGCTTACACGAACGTCCCGGACCACTCTCCCGCGCACTTCAATCACGAGGGCACCTGTGTCCAAGGTGTTTCGGACGGCTGACCCATGCAGCTCGTATTCAACAAAGCCAATGCCTTCTTCCATCAGTGCTGAAGCCTTGTCATATCAGCCCTGACACCCGGAGTAACCCGTGACGGGGTGAGCTGATGAGCAGCAGCGAGAGCAGCGTTCGACGATCTAGGCCCTTCGCCCCGTTTCGGAAGGGTGACTGGTACATTATAATCCTGTAACACGACATCTTAGGCTCGAATTCTATCTGAGTCACCCGCCCAGCCGCTCGACTGTTTGTGAGTGACTGGAGTTATCGAAGAGCGCGCCCCTTGGCGCGGGACGGGCTGCATAGACGGCAAAAATGAGCCGTTTCCTCCTCGCGCTCGGCCTACTGCTGCTGGCCTGCGCAGCAGGGGGCCGCGCGCAGGATGCGCAGCCTGCGCCGGTGCAGAAGGACTGCGATGCGACTGCGAAGCCCGGCCCCGTCACCGCCATCAAGACGCTTGTGGTCAATGGCACCACCGCTGACGTGCGTTCGGCCCCGCACCTAGGCCCCAATCAACAGCGAGAGAAACAGGCGTAACAGCCAGCCGCTGCAGGCCACCCCGCACTGGAGCCAGATGCCCACCACCTGCACGCTGGCCCCCTGGATGTGCATGCGCGGCCCCACCAGCGCTCTCGCTGCTGCAACGGCACCAGGAACCCCGGGGACCACCCACTCCCCGGCACGCCCACCCTCTCCCACCCCCCCTCACACTCCGCCGCCTTCCCCCGCCAGCTGCTCTGGCTGCCGCCCAGCTCGGGCGGCTGCTTCGACACCTTCATAGTCAGCGGCGCCAACGCAGCCACGGGCAAGGCCCTGGAGCGCCGCAAAGTCAACGACGCGATGAGCACGCGGTACGACGGCCTCACCCCCGGCGCCACCTACCAATTTAACGTCTTCGCGACTGGCCAGGCCGGCGACGGCCCCTCAGAGAGCACCAAGGCGGCGACCCCGCCCGCCTACCTGGCGGGCGTCGCGCCGGACGCGCCCGAGGCGTTCGCCGGGGCGGCGCTCGGGGAGTCGTCGGTCAAGCTGTCGTGGGAGCGGCCGGCGGGCAACCCCCAGGTGGATTACTACGAGGTCATGGCGGTGCCGGTCAACGCCACAGGGTGCGACGCTGCGCGGCGCGGGGCGGCGCGGGGCGGGGCGGCACAGGTCCGTGCAAAATCTGACACCTGTCGCTGGGGCGGCACGGCGGCGCGCGCAGGGGCGGTTGACAGGGCTGCCACCCGCATGCGGCGCCGCCCACGCCCATGTGTGCACCGCGCCCGCGGCGGCCGCGCGCTCGCAGGTACCCCATCAAGGGCGGCAAGAACGCGACGTCCAAGGTCGACGGCAAGGCGTTCGAGACGACCGTCAAGGGCCTGAGCCCCGGCGAGTCTTACGTTTTTGAGATCAAGGCGTACAACGCCGAGGGCTCCAGCCCCGACCCCTCGGTTACCTTCCACCGCACGCCGCGCGTGGGGGAGAAGCCGCCCGGCGCGCCGACGGGCGTGGCGGCGCGGCAGGCCGCGAAGGACGCGGTCGTGATCCAGTGGAAGGCGCCGGCGGGGACATCTCCGGACTTTTACCAGATTGGGTGAGAGGCAGTTGGGTTGGGCGGCATTGAGGAAGGGGGGTGGACGAGGGACGTGGCAGAGGGATCAGGGGAGGGAGAGGGGGC